GGGCGGCTGGGGCGCGCGGAGGGAGCGGGCGCGGGGCATGGGGAGCGCTCGTGTGCACGCGGCGGGCCGAGAGAGCGTGCCTGGAGCGTGCAAGAGAGCGGGCAGGGAGCACGCAGAGTGAGCGTGCACGGAGCGTGCGGAGAGGGCATGCACGCAGCATGCGGAGTGTGCGTGCACAGGGCGTGCAGAGAAAGTGTGCCTGCAGCATGCCTGGAGCGTGCAAGAGAGCATGCATGGAGCACGTGGAGAGAGCGGGCATAGAGCATGCAGACTGTCTTTGCACAGGGCGTGCAGAGAAAGTGTGCCCGGAGCATGCACGGAGCGTGCAAGAGAGCAGGCATGGAGTGCACAGAGAGAGCACGCACAGAGTGTGCAGAGTGAGTGTGCGCAGAGCGTGCAGAGAAAGCATGCCTGGAGCATGCAGAGAAAGCGTGCAAGAGAGCATGCATGGTGAACACAGAGAAAGCAGGCACAGAGCGTGCATGCAGCATGCACGGCACACATGGAGAGAGCAGCGTGCCTGGAGCACGCAGAGTGAGTGTGCACGGAGCGTGCGGAGAGGGCATGTGCACAGCATGCAGAGTGTGCGTGCACAGGGCGTGCAGAGAAAGTGTGCCTGGAGCCATGCCTGGAGCATGCAAGAGAGCAGGCATGGAGCACATAGAGAGAGCAGGCACACAGCCTGCATAGTGAGTGTGAGCGGAGCGTGCAGAGAAAGCATGCCTGGAGCATGCAGAGAAAGCGTGCAAGAGAGCATGCATGGTGAACACAGAGAGAGTGTGCACAGGGCATGCATGCAGCGTGCATGCAGCATTCAGAGAGAGCGTGCACAGGGTGTGCAGAGTGACCTTGCGCAGAGCATGCAGAGAAAGTGTGCCCAGAGCATGCAAGAGAGTACGCATGGAGCACGTAGAGAGAGCAGGCACAGAGCATGCAGAGTGAGCCTGCATGGAGCGCGCAAGAGGGCATGCCTAGAGCGTTTGGAGACAGCATGCACCCAGCATGAAAAGAAAGCGTGCACAAAGCATGCAACATGAGCATGCAGGCAGTCTGCAAGGGACAGGCATGGAGGATGCAGAGCAAGCATGCACAGAGCATGCAGAGAGAGCGTGCACAGAGTATGCAAGAGGGCATGCACGGAGCATGCAGAGACAGTGTGCATGGCGCATGCAGAGAAAGCACGCATGGAGCTTGCAGAGAGAGAGCGTGCCCAGAGCGGGCAAAGAGAGTGTGCACGAAGCGCACAAGAGGGCATGCATGGAGCATTGGGAGAGAGCTTGCACAGAGCATGCTGGGGGAGCTTGCACGGAGCATGCAAGAGGGCATGCACACTGCATGCAAAGAGAGAGAGCATGCACAGAGCATACAGAGAGAGCGTGCACGTAGTGCTTGGAGAGAGCATGCACAGAGCATGCAAGAGGGCGTGCGTGAAGCCTGTGGGGAGACCGTGCACGGAGCGTGGGCAGAGGGCACGCACAGAGCACATGGAGAGAGCGTGCGTGGAGCATGCAGGCCACACACCGGGAGAGCAGGCCTGCAGCACGTGCAGAGAGCGCGGGCCCACGGCGTGCACGGAGCGGGCAGCGAGAGCCGTGCACGGAGCAAGGGGAACGAGCACGCACCGAGCGCGCGGGTAAGC